TGCTGCTTGTTCCTGCAGTGTTTCAGTGTTTACCTTCTATAGTTACCTCTCTGTAGTAGTTCCCATGGTACCTGGTGGTTATCAACACAAAGGATTCATAGGAAATGATGCATGGATCACTCAATTAATCAATGAAACTTTATTTGTACAGTACCTTTCATACAGGATTGTGCATCTCAAAGTGCACAATAACTTAAAACTACATAATATGAAATGTGAACTGTAGAATCATTTTACAACCAGTGTGAAACTAATGCAAGAATGTAAAATAATATCAAACCAATCAAATAGGTTAAATAATCTAAATAAACCAGATGAAACATAATGACAAAATGAGTGAACAGCTTAAAACACTAATACAATAAAATAAATAAAAAGAACAGATAATGCTCGCAAAATACTTTTCTCGAAAGCCAGGTTGAAGAGGTGGGTTTTTCTTTTGTGTTTACAGAGATCGACTCTCTCAGCTGTTTCTATCTCCTCAGGTGACACCACAATACTATAACCTTTATAAGGAAATCATATACGTAAGACACTGTATCAAAGTCAAACTAAGCCAATGAGCTTTTCGTCTGTATTTAAAAATATCAATTGTTTCAGGTCCTTTCTAATTCTGTGAAAGACTGTTCCAGCAGTTCGGAGCCTAATGGTTGAAAACGGTTTCACTGAAGGTTTTTGCTGTACATTGTGGTACGGCTAAAAGAGAAGTACCAGAGGACCTGAGGGGCCTTCCCAGTTTATAAATTAAAAGCATTTTGTAAAAGCATAAAATATTTTTTAACAGGTAACAAATTAAGATAGGTGTAATGGGTGCTCTCCTCCTGGTCATAGTCAGCACCTGTGAATCCTGCATTAATTGTAGCTGATTCATTTAGAACAGAAGAAGAGCGCTACAGTAGCTTAATTATGAAAGCATGCATTAGAAATGGCCTCACTTAAGAAATGTTCTCAAATGATAAAATTCTATTTTTGTGACACCCTGTTTTAAAATCAAAATCAGTCAGCTAGAATTACCACCTCACGTTTGGATGCCTACACCAACCAGTCAAATTCATAGGAATGGAACGGATGTGAGGTCACAGCGACCTTTGACCTATGACCACCATCATCTAATCAGCACATACTTCAGTATGTGGACCGGCCATGGCTATTGCTGGTGCAGAGGTAAAAAAAGGGAGGTAGAAATTAGGTCAAAGGAACAAGTGGAGCGTTTCATTACTGTTACTACTGTCCTGGGAGTTACAGAATCAATCATGCTAAAATGTTCAATTTTGATATTACTCTGTATAGTGTGCTCATTGTGTTGGCAGGAACGTAATTTAATATTGATTATTAGACATGAATTGGAAGACAACGTCTGATAATGAGTTTAATAATGGTGTCAAATAACACTAACACTGTTGGTCTTTTCTTAATGAATGAAACTTCACAATATGAGCACAATTATAACTTTAATATCGCTTAATTCTATTTATCTATCTATCTGTCTATCTATCTATCTATCTGTCTATCTACGTCTCTGTCTATCATTGCACCATGCAATTTGTGTCAAATGTCAATTCATTGACCATATAAAATTTGCCCTCATTCAAAGCCTTTTTCAGGAAATCTAAACAGAACTTTGCACTGTCCATTGTTTGAAAATGAGTATTTGGATCTATTTAGTCATCAGTACTGAACTCACAGTTACAAATGCAAAAATATCATTTTAAGTTTCAGGTATAGTTCTAGGACGTTCTAGGAGGTAAAAGGCTAGGAGGCACTTCAGTATCAGCAGGCTTCCCTCAGCTGACGCTGGTGACTGACAGACTGAGAGCAGCCTAAGAGCCTCCAGGTTCAGCTGAACCCAGCGTCCTTCAGCCTGCCTCAGCTTGTATCTCTGTTCATTTATTTTACACAGAAACAAACATGTAGGGTTCAAACAGATAGGAACGCTGCCCAGTCATTTCTTTATCCCACTCAACTCCTTTCTCTTCGCTTCTGAGCCAGACGAAGTAAAACTTGAGAAATGAAGCTGTGCTAGGAAACTGAAGTTGAAAGCAAATTACAACTGGATGTACAATAAATTTTACTGGAAAAGTCAGTTTTGTGTTCAGTGTGTGCAGGTGGTCTGTGAAAAATATGAAATCAGTCCTTCTGTGATTTAAGCCAGGCAGAGAGTGAACACATGTACCGGGCGAACTGTGCATGATGTTTTTACTGTTTTAGCCTGATCAAACAATATGTTTACTTGGCTGGTAGGGGCATCTTGACATTTTGGGAAATCCTCTTCTTTTCACCCATGTGTATCAAGCAAAGATATAGTTTACCTAATAAATATTCAGCTCTGAAGTGCTTTGTAATTTTAGTGTAGACCTTAAGTTTCAAGTTTAATGATTCTATAAATTAACCACTACGATGTTAGTATATGTATAGTACCAGTCATAAGTTTTAGTACACCTCCATTTTTCCAGTTTTTGGTTTGACATTTTAGCAGTCTTGCGAATAACCTTAAATGATGCAAAGAACTAAACTGCCAGAGATTAAACAATGGTCACCAAAAACAAAAAATTTGTGTAAATTTAATATAAAACTAATGTTTTCATGGATCAAGTAACAGGTTAACTTCCTTATTTTCCGCAGTAGTGGAAGTAAATTAGGACCTAAAAAGTGATGCAAACAATTTCTACAGGTGTCTCAACTTCTGTTACAACAACAAATTCTATCTGTGCAACGGCAGTGTCAGAAAAGATGACACACTCTGCAGCTTTATTTGGAAAAAGGCAGTTAAAAGAAGTCAGACCTTTTCAGGATTTCAATCTATAGCAGATAATTTTATACTCAATGTGACAAGGTGGTTGAATTTCTTTTTCTAATATCCTAATAATTTCCATAACATTACATTTTTAAATTGTACAAAATTCTCTCAGGATTTCATTAATATATTTCTTTTCATAACAACGTTTTGTGAAGTCAGTCACAGTGTAAATGTGATGATACAGGTTAAAAACCATGTAAATTCTGATAATTGCTACCATTAGATGCATTTTGGTAGCTTTGTTAATGATAATACATGCGTCCATGCATGTTGAAGCCAGCTGTCAAGATCTTTGAAGATTTAAGGTTTTCAACTTTAAAAATTAACATTTGAAATTAGTTTTACTCAGTGTACCTGTTTGTGCGGATTGCTGTGCTTGTTAACGTGTGTTATTGCCTCTATGAGCACTTGCTCATCATTGTTTCTGCATATATGCCTTTGCACTCCAAGGGCCTCACAATTGATCCTGCTGTATTGTCATCTGCTGTGCATTTGTGCACTTAACATTTTTGCGATAGCTTGCTGTTCCTTTACCTTTCAATATTCCCTCCACTATGGACCGCCTGCAGGGCAGCACTCACAATGCACTCACAGCTCCTCCTCCCCCAACGCACATACACACACACACACAGTTTCCTCCTGAGCGCTGACCTGCACTGGTGCTTTAATATTGGTGACAGCTAATACACTTCTAAATGATCAGTTATTATCTCAGGGGCCTCATCCACAGGGCCCCACTGATTCCAAAGGTCATCCCTCTGTCTTCCAGTATTGATTAAGTGGGTCTGTTAACGTTGCTCTGGGCCTTACTGAAAGTGAACATTGTCACTAACATATTTCCATCAGATGTATCTGGCTGGAGAGGCCCATTTAAAAGCCTCTTTGACTTTGTCACTGCCCCAGTGAATAGGGCAGGATGAGGAGCATAATGGATATGCCAATAAGGCAACTAGTGCTACTAAAATATACAGAGTGCCACGGGCAAGACTGACAGAAGGAGATACCCTGCTGATGCATTATAGGATTGTATTCTCAGTCTTTACATGCTTTTTTCAAAATCAACAAAACAGGCCAAAAAAAGCAGTAAATAAAAGTAAATGAAGAAAAGAGTTTCACTACTTTAACAACACATTTATTGTTGGTTTGGGTTTTTTTATTTGTTATTATATATAATAAGTAATGCCAAGTGTTAGCATTCTGCATTTATAATGGAAACCCCCAAAAATGTTCAAAAAAGTATTTATTTACAAGTATTTTCTCTCAACAGTATATGCTGTACTCTATATCCATATTTTTCTTTTCCTAAATCTATAACGTCCACCTTATTTAGATCGATGAATCATCATACAGTTGAATCAACACCTTTTAAAAACCCTTCATGAAGGCTGATTGATTGATTGATTGCAGAAATGCTGACTTCGACTACACATGTTTTGGCTAGGTGTACCTAATCAAGTGCCAGCTGAGTTTATGTGCCTCAGTCTTTAGCTTATTTAAATAAACAGTTTTCAGATCAACTTTAAGAGTGAACACTGTTCTTTGAATCAACATTAATTAACACATTTTATATGTTGATACATTACATTGCAGCTGGTTACTACAGTACAAAATAACCCACAGGGAAGTGTTGTTATCCTACATACTGTATTTATGGACATTATGCAGGCCTTCACCAACACAGCATTTATTACATTAATTCCTGACTTACTCACTCATATGGGTCTCTTTCTTATGCCCTCACAGCAGCCAGGAAGGTGCAGCACACAGAAATTTTGACCTGCTCACTTATTGTATATTTCCCTCTTTTAAAGCTTTTGCATAAATGGATTTACCCAGTAGTGCTTACAATTATGTTTCTTAAGCTACATCAATCACATTCATTTACCAAAACAACCAAAAAAGCAGCAGTACGTGTGAAAATTACAGAGGTCCAGACCTGGAGCTATGGTGGGGAGAACATGGATTGGTCTGAGGTATACCACTGGAACAAAAGAAATGATTGTGGCCAAAACCAAACATGACAGAATTGGCTGAGATCATATTTACTATACACCATGGAATCAGACAGTTAAAATGTGAACTTCACTTTCATTATTTACTCTATGTAGACATTTAATATTGTAATGTTGTTATCGCTGAAAAAGAGATAAATAAATGAATCATTAATGCTTAACCAATTAATAGTTGATTCTTTCTTTTTCAGTTGTATGAACTGGATGATGATGAAAAGCGCAAAGAGTTTCTTGATGACCTTTTCAGTTTCATGCAGAAACGGGGTGAGTACTGTAAGATTTCCACTTTAGTACAAGAATATGCTTCTTTATTTATAAAACCTCTTGTTCCCCCAGTATCCTCTTATGTGTCTGTCAGTCCTGAATGGCTAACCACACCTACCTATGTACTCCAATGTTTCTAAAAACTGGGAATTCCTTTGTGGTGTTTGACTTTCTGGGAGGGAGGGGTTACATGCCCCTCATAGTCACATTGTTCTGTGCTTAAAGTGCTTTTATATAATACAGTACTCAGTAACTATCAGCGGCGGGCCGTCAGGGCCAGCAAGGCCTTCTCTGCTGGCCTAAACACTATCAGAAGCACTGACCTACATTTACAACCTAAATTCTAATATTTGTTCCATGAAATTGTATTAATTTATTCCCAACAGTCTGTTCTCTTCATTTCGTAGTATTTCTCTTGGCTGCACCGCTTCCAGTAAGCTATAACTCAAATGCCTTTAAAAGCCCCATGGACTGAACATGGAAAACAGTCTGACAGCAGCTTAAAGTCAGCTGTTAGACCTGAAGAGGGCAGTCAGAAGCTGCAGTAGCATTTACAAGGAATCGTTTGTCAAAACAGAACACCAGTGGCGGGCCGTCAGGGCCAGCAAGGCCTTCTCTGCTGGCCTAAACATAATTAGAAGCACTGACCTACATTTACAACCGAAATTCTAATATTTGTTCCATGAAATTTTATTAATTTATTCCCAACAGTCTGTTCTCTTCATTTCGTAGTATTTCTCTTGGCTGCACCGCTTCCACTACGTGTATGTGGATGTTAGATTTTTTGTCCAATCAGTTTTCAGCCTCTATGTGTTGCCATGTCAATCTAATCTGCCCAGGGCCTTCAGAATCAGAAGTGCTGGCCCATGTAACTTAAACTATGTTAGCAATGGGACTGTTTCTTTAACCAATCAGATTTCAAATTCGCCTTACAGGGCCAGCTAGCTGGCCCACAATGACGTCAGCATTTTTCCGTCCTCTGATTGGTTGGTCAGCGCAAAACTAGAAAAGGACTTATGATAGAACTGAAACGCAGAGATCACCTCTATGAGGATGGATTTTGTCTATAAATAAATAGCATCTCTGGTGAGTATGATGCTTTTAATTTAAATTTTGTATGTTTTTGTCATGTTATTAGATAAATATTGAGTCTCAACTGCTCCAGATGATGTACAGTTGCGGTTGTAGTGTAGAGGTTTGGAGTTGTCTTAACTGGGTTTCTTGCTTTAGTAAAAATGGTATTCACCCTCAATATGCGAAATACCTCTCTCTCTCTGTAATCCCATGCTAATTATATTGCGTTTTTGTATAGTACTGATGGTTTCTATAATTGCGACATGATAGTGGTGGTATTAAGAGAAGAATTAAGTCGGGTAAGTCCCCACTGAAGGCCCAAGTACGAAATGCACGGCCCGCCACTGGTAACTATAACACCCCCTGTCCACATTAGAGCTCACTTTGTGTTCAAAGTTTTGATTTTGTGCAGTTTATCAGTAGTTTAAAATTCTGTTTTCAGTCAGTTTATTGGAAAACTACCCAAGAAACAGCTACTTCACAGACAGCTTAAAACATGCTACTTGGTTAAATAAAAAGGCAGGCCTGTAGCTCTCCCTGCACTTGCTATGAAAGGGAGGTGGGGTAAAATAACACATGCATGCTCAGCTTGAACATTCAAAAAGAAATGTAAAAAAGTCTTTCTGGTGGGGAAAAACACAATTGATTTGTTTTTTTTTCATTTAAATGCCATAAGCATGATTTTTAGGGCAGAGTGCCATAATGTTAGCACAGATGAACTGCAAGGAGCCAACCAAAGGTTAATGACAGCAGTGCAACAACATGTCACCATATGCTGCCACCAACCACTCAAATTCATGGGTATGGGACAGAAGTGAGGTCACTGACCTTGACCTTTGACCACCAAAATCTAGTTAGTTCATCACTTAGTCAAAGTAGATACTTAAGCCAAATTTGAAGAAATTCCATCAGATATTATGTTTACAAGAATGGGCCAGATGTACAGATGAACTGACGGACAGCCCGAAAACATAATGCCTCCGGCTGAGGCTATCGCTGGTGCAGAGGCATAAAAATAATGCTGTGATCACCTTTTGTTGGGATAACTGCATATATACAGAGCACACCACTGGGCATACTGTACATAATTGCTAGATGAATACATTTGTCATTACCATGACCTGACCATATTCATATACAGTATATGTTTGCAGTCACTAAATGTACTAAATGCCCCTCCAGTCCTTAAAACACAACAAAGAAAGGGAGCCATATACGCCCTAGTTTTCACAGGCCTTCCCACAGTATGATGAATTCTTTACATTTACTGGCCACTTATACAATGTGTTTTCCCAAAGTGAGGATTCTGCTGGCAGGTGCTGGTTTTATTGAGGAAATGGATCTATTTAGACCCTTGCATAATATGAGGAAGTTAACCACCCAGCAGAGAATAAAAGGCACCACTATAGTTACAATGACACTTTATTCTGGGAGCACTAGGTTAATGTATCATGTCTTTGTCATTTTGAAATCCTGTACACAGTGTTCTAAACACCTGCAGATGCATTCTTACGTCCTCACCTTCCTGATCTTAATGTTTAATATAGTGGTTTTGAATTAGGCAAAAAATGGTTTGGACCAAATCGTTTTTTTCCAGAAATGACTTGTTAATAATAATAATGATAATAAACAGAATGATGGTTGTGTACAGTAACCCAAGCTTCTATTCTGTATAGGCTTCGCCCTCTAAGAGCTGTCGCTATTGGGTTTATCCCTCATGCATACAGTACGTAATCCTGAAGAGGTTCTTTCACGCCCTGTGCCCTGCACTGGACTGTCCTCACACAGGTCCGCTGTGGTGGCATAAATGCCAACGTGCCCTGTGATCGGCTCCCTACACCAGCGCTTTTTCTTTAGCTGGCGGATCCTCACACAGGTCCGCTGTGGTGGCATAAATGCCAACGTGCCCTGTGATCGGCTCCCTACACCAGCGCTTTTTCTTCAGCTGGCGGAGGTGGAGACAGCAGGGCTGCCAGCTTAGAGGGCTACGCCTATACTCATAGAAGCTTGGGTTACTGTATGTAACCATCGTTCTATTTTGTGTAGGCTCCACCCTCTAAGAGCTGTCACTGTTGGGATAAAAGTGCAGCTGGATGTAGTCAATGGCCTGCTGGCACACTGCCGCCCAAGACATTAAAAACAACACCGGAAATGGTGCTCCTAGAAATGGGAGCTGTGCCTCTTTCCACGCACCGTTGAAAAACAGCCCACTTTGCTGCATAAGATGCCATTGTTGACAGAGCTCTTGCCCACTGAATTGTGTGTATGACCTCGGAAGGCAACCTTAGGCTCTCCAGTTGCTCTGGCTCAGGGGCCAGGCCCACAGTCGCTGTCCTGTCACAGGGAACTGCTGGATCACGCCGTCTAGCTGAGAGAGAAAGCATCCTCATGCCACAGCAGCTGCCAAGGCTTGCCCGCCAGCAGCTGAACCAGGGCCAGAAATCAAGCTGCACCCATGCGCTCTGGAGCTATCAGAAGGACACGCAACCCTTCGTCCTGAATGCAAGAGAGGAGTCGTGGAATTAGTGGGACAGGAGGGAATGCGTAAAGAAGACCTCTCGGCCAGGGGTGGTGAGCGAAGGCATCTACCCCTAGTGGGGGTTTGTCTCTGGTGTTCACTGAGAACCAAAGGTTGCTCTGCACATCTCCCCAGCCGAGCAGAGACACATCTGTAAACACTGAGATGTGTGATGCAAATCTGCCTAGGGGAACCCAGGCTGTCAGGACACTGGGAGTTCCCCAATACGCCAGGTCTGATTGGACCGAGGAGGGAACCATGAGCACGCGCCTATTGTGACGTACCAGGTCAAGGAGAAGACAGCTGAACCACCCCTGGAGCTTCCTCATGTGAAGAAGACCGAGGGGAACCATGACATGACTGGCTGACATTGTTCCCAATAAACGCATGACAGACAGAGCTGTTTCCTTCGTGGGGAACAATGCGCTGCGGGGAGAGATGAAAGCACCTCCCGCCTGGAGGATGATAGCTTCGCTCTCATGCTGAGTCCAGGTGCACTCCCAGGTAAATGAGTGTTTGGCAGGGCACCAGTGAGCTCTTTTCCCAGTTCACTGCACCGTTGCCAGAGACAAGTGCTTGCTCTGTGCAACCCATTGGAGGGTGGTGAAGAAAGGGCTGAGAAGAAGTGCTTCATCACAGGCCACTCAGGGGCAAAGGCAGTGCTACTAACACATCCACTGTGGGGAAAACTCTATCAGGGGAAATGGCGGTGTTGTGCTGTGGAGAAAAATTAATGTTAGGCGCATCCCATGGCGCAGTGTGTGTGAGGGGACAGCCATGAACTGGGGAGACGTGTGTGTGTGAAGGCAGTGAACACCCAGAGAGAGAGGAGAAACAACTGTCAGAAAACTGCTCTTTATGAATCTGGTGGTGGCCCTTAGAAGGGCCATTGTGTACTCACACATGTTCCCCTCGTCCCGTCATTGCCGCCGTTGTTTGCAGGGGGGGCTCCGCAGGAGGGTTTGCCCAGGAGCAGGCAACTTGTCGCCTTCATAGATGTAACAGCACCTGTTAAGACTAAAGTTATTTCTGGCAAACAGAAAGCCCATATGGAGAAAGTAGCATATGTAGCAGTAGCATATCAGAGGAGATAATGCAGAAAAGCAGAATGAAGCTAGAGAAAAACTAAACTTCAGATCCACTATTTACAGACATTTACAAAGAGAAACTCTGGCTCTATATCTCTGAGCTATGCAGAGCTGAATACAAGCCTGGTAGGTGTCTCAGATCAGCAGGGACTGGTCAGTGATTGGTGCCCAGAATTCCAACTAAACACGGTTGGAGTACCTTTAGCCATGATGCTGGCAACAGCTGGAGCCAGCTCCCATGAGAATTTAGATCTGCCTGAACTGTAAAGCTAAGCTAAAGACCATTCTTTTTTCCATTGCTTTTAATTAATGTATCTTAA